AATCAGCACAACAATCAAGCATAGAAGTAGTTCAGAGATATAAGCAAAGCTAGAGGCTAACACAGCGGGCAAGTGAGGAGGAGGAGGGACAGTGAGACAAGAGGAGATAGGAGGCGGTGGCTAAAGCTGCAGACACACGGGCACCAGGAGTGGCGAGCACAGTGGCTACCGGGACAGCGCCCCGGACTACAGGAGTAACTGGCTCCGCGGCTAAGACGAGCGGCAGGAGCGACGGACCCACAGGCGACTGGCGCAGCGACGAGCTCACTGGGCTACCGGGACAGCGCCCCGGACTACAGGTGATGCGGACGACAAGACGGCAGCCTCCGCTCAACCTCCCGCAAACAGTCCCACACACCCCCCACAGACCCACTGCTTCACCCTAGCTCCACTCCCCCTTCACCCCCTAGCACGACTCCGTCGGCTTCCACACACCCACCCCCCTCGGCGGCAGCTGCAGTAGGGGGAGACAGAGGAGGAGGAGGAGCAGGGGAGACTACACACCCGCCACCCCCGACTCGCCACCCTCAAACCCTAAAACAGGGCAGGGCGGGATGGCGGGTAGGGAGGTGACGGGGGGGGGGGGGGGGGGGGGGGGGTCAGAAGGGGCGGCGCTCGCCCCCTCCCCCAGCGGCCCCCGAGGGTCGCCTCGGCAGGCGACGGGAAAAAGGGGGGGGGTGGGGCCGCAGGGGCGCCACGACGGACGGGCGACGGGCGCGCGCGGTACCCCAGGGCGCCGCGACGAGCAGGGCGGGGGCCGCGCGTGCTCCCCAGGGCGCCGCGAAGAAGGGGCGGCGGTCGCGCGCGGCTTTCCAGGGCGGCGGTCGCGCGCGGCTTTCCAGGGCGGCGCGACGGGAAATCAGGGCCGCGGGGGGTTGCGCGCGGCTCCCCAGGGCGGCGCGACGGGCTCCCGGGGGGCGACGCGACCGTCGACGGGGTAGGAACCCGCCGCGCGCCTCGGGGCGGGCAGAAAACGGCCACACGCCCCGAGCGCTCGGCGGGATGAAAAACGCCGCGCGCCCGGGGCGCACGGCAGGAAGTAAGGGCCACGCGCCAGGGGCGCGTGACAGCAGTAGCGCAGCGGAAGTAGTAGTGGGGCCCACAGGCCAAGAGCGGAACCGCTCTGATAGCATGTTGAGATAGTAGCGAGAGTTAGGGCGCCATAGCTAGGAGAACCCTAGCTAGGCAAGAAAGTTTAGGCAAAAAGAGGGGGTTCACTAGAAAGCAGCAGGATACATATAGGGAACCCTAAGAGGTTGTACTCGCTATAGAGTACCCCACTGCAGGCTAGAGAACAATAACATTCTGACACTGACAGGGCGAATATATGTGTCAGGGCGAATCTTGTGGTGCGAAAGAGCGAATCTGCAATGTCAGGGCGAGTTTTATGTGATTGGTCGAAAATTGTTGTGCTCTGACAACGCAAATCTGTTGTGTCAGGGCGATTTTGCTATGATTGAGCGAAAATCTTGTGCTGTACGGCTCGGATTTGCTGTGTCAAGGCGATTTTGCGTTGACATTGCGAATCTGTTGTGACCCGTAAGTCCGAATCACCAGTCAAGGACGCGTTTGTACTCTGAATGATCAGAGTACACTCTCAGAAAAATCTGAACTCTCAGAGTTAGCCTTAAAAAAAGTCTGAAAATTACAGAGTTTGGGCCCAAAAAAGTCTGATTTTAGCAGGGTACACTGGAAAAAAAATCTAAAATATCAGAGTTTTTTGTGCAAATCATGACAAAATTAGAAGAAAGAAAGAGGAATGAACTAGCAGAAATGGGGATACAAATAGCAAACCCTAGAAGGGTTGTACTCGCTATAGAGCACCCCACTACAGGCTAGAACATAAGAATAATATTCTGACACACCCCCATAGCCAAAGTGGGGTGTAATCAGCAGAGCAGGCAAAGCAAAACAAGCTCAGGGTGGATCACAATGTCACCACACATTCTGAGCACAAGTTCAAGAAGAAATAGTTTAGAGTTCACAATTATAAGCAAAGCTAGTGGTAGTCACAACGGGCAAGTGAGGAGGAGGAGGGAGAGTGAGGGGAGAGGAGACAGGAGGCGACGGCTGAAGCTGCAGACACACGGGCAACAGGAGGCAGACTGGCACAGCGGCTACCGGACAGCGCCCGGACTACAGGATTAACAGGCCCCGCGGCTCAAATAGCGGCGGACGGGCAACGGACCCACGGGCGGCTGGCACAGCTGGCTACGACTGGGCTACCGGGACAGCGCCCCGGACTACAGGTGCTGCGGACGACAAGCCGGCAGCCTCCGCTCAACCTCCCGCAAACAGTCCCACCCCCCTGATACACACCCACTGCTACACCGCTAGCTCTACTCCCACGCACCCCCCTTAAACCCTAAACCCCAGTCTCCCACACAACCACCCCCCTCAGCGACAGCTGCAGCTGTGGGAGACGAAGGAGGAGGAGGAGCAAGGGAGGAAGGCACACCGGCCACCCCCATACCCGCCACCCCATAGCTCGCCCCCTCAGGTCGCCTCGACGGACGACGGGAAATGGCAGGGGGAGGGGGGGGGGGGGGGGGGGGGAGGCGGTGTGGTGAAAGGGGCCCACCACGGGCCTGGTTGGAGGGCGGGGCCGCGACAAGGGGCGGGGCCGCGACGAGGGGCGGGGCCGCGACGGTCGGGCAGGGCCGCTTCGAGGGGCGGGGCCGCGACACAGGGCGGGGCCGCAACGTAGGGCGGGGCCGCGACGGTCGGGGCGGGGCCGCGACGTAGGGCAGGGCCGCAACGGTCGGGCGGGGCCGCGACGTAGGGCGGGGCCGTGACGGTCGGGGCGGGGCCGCGACGTAGGGCGGGGCCGCGACTGTAGGGCGGGGCCGCGACGGTCGGGGCGGGGCCGCGACGTAGGGCAGGGCCGCTTCGAGGGGCGGGGCCGCGACGCAGGGCGGGGCCGCGACGGTAGGGCAGACGCCCGCCGCGCGCCTCGGGGCGCACAGCGGGCAAAGAACCGCCGCGCGCCCCGGGGCGCACGGCGGGCAGAAAACCGCCGCGCGCCTCGGGGCGCACGGCGGGAAGGAAAACCGCCGCGCGCCTCGGGGCGCACGACGGGAAGGAAAGGTAGCAGCGGAAGCGAGGTGGAAACCCACCCACAGGATCGATCTAAGGGGATCGACCTGCTCTGATAGCATGACAAAATTAGAAGAAAGAAAGAGGAATGAACTAGCAGAAATGGGGATACAAATAGCAAACCCTAGAAGGGTTGTACTCGCTATAGAGCACCCCACTACAGGCTAGAACATAAGAATAATATTCTGACAAATCAGAGAAAAAAGTCTGACTTCGTAGGGCCTGACCCCCCTGAACAACTTCACACAACCCAAAGCGAGCTAAACAGGTGGTGAAATTTCCAGGTCCTTTTCTGCCTTCTCCACATGAGTTTAGCATTGCATGTGTGGAATGCATGGTAAAGAAAACCCTCTGTATTTACTCAGGCAGGCCTGCATGATACTCCGCTGTATGCACATTCAGTAACGCGGAAAGTAGCTAGCGACCAAACCACGCGCACCGTTAATGGACATTTGCTCTTCCGACAGCCGTAAAAGCCGTTTCGTCGTAGCAACGCTCCTGACGGCAATAAGCTTTGCACAACATACAATAAGCTTTGTTGCCTTGACGGTTCAGACGATGCTTTACACTGGTTCTGTGAGAATGCGACCTGCAAAACGACATTCGGAGGCAACTGGGAATACCATGCGAGCCAATGAGTTCAATGAATTGAATGGCTTCGGGCAAATGATATGAAAGCCAGAAGAATGTTGTTGAAATCGGACTGCAGTCAGGCGGTTTGAATGTGATTGAATGGGATGTGATGCTGGGATTCCATTTCGACAATTGGAGCAAACAGAAGTCGAGGTGAACACAGAACTCGCTAAAAACATTTCTGAAAGACATATTTTCAGATACATTTATGCATGAACGTTCCATACATGCATAATATCAGAATTCATAGAAAAAACAATACTTGAATCTGTGCTTGCTCTGTTATAATGGAGAATAGTATTCAACAAACAGTAGCTTGAGTGCTTCTGGCATGAATTTTTGTTGTGGATTCTTTCAGCCATGGAATAAAATATGCATTGATTCACAAGAATTTGCATCTGACATCCTTTATCCATGTATGCACTGTAGCTTTCGTTCCCTTGACAAGACTGCGTAGATCACGGATTCCAGGCCTGGTCTGAAGAACGCGCCTCTACTTCCAGCACAACTAGCATGCGCAACGCACCACCTAGCTCATTTCAAAGAAGCTCGTGCGTTGTTCGCCGTCTTTTCGCCATTGCACCAAGTCTTCCCCTCGTATGTAAAGCGTGGTTGGTTCTCACAGCTCCTCTGCTCATAGGGGTTCCATTGGAATGGCATCCGTAGCGTGCGCTCCTACCCTTCATCAGCAGCACGATGCAGTAACGCTAGCTGCATTACCTCGCCTTCCCAGTGAGTTCCCACAGATACCTGCTAATCGTTCATATAGTTGCGTCTCGCACTTGGTGCACTAAGTTGCGTGCTGTGCAGAGCCTGATCAGATCTCCGCCAACGCTACGCTCCACCATATGCTCGTTTGCTCCAACAGCTTTCAACCCCCCTCACGTGCCCGTTGATGCATTCACTCTCCGCGTTCGACCGCTTTCTCCTCTCGCCGCGTATCCCTCTCGATTGTTCTCCGCCTACCGCCACCCAATCCTCCCCTTCATCACCTCACCAACCCGCTTCCCCTCCCCCCCCTCCTCCCCCTTCCCCCCCCCCCCCGGTTCCCCCTACTCCCACCCTCCTTACTTCCTCCGCCTTTCTCCGCACCTCCTCCGCGCTCTCCGCACTCTCCGCGCTCCCCGTCGAACATTCCCACAGGGCGCACCACATTGGCCCTGTGCGCGCATCGTTTACCCCAGTCGTCGCACCCCGCAGCGCTTCACAGGCGGAACCCATGCGTGCAGGCGGGGCCGCTCGCGCGCTTGCGCGGAGAGGGACGGCGTTCAATGCGCGCGTGCGGCGCAGAGGCTGCGGGTGTGGCGGCGCAGACGACGCGGAGGAGACGCGCGGTTGATGGGGCGGAGGAGGAGGAGCGCGAGGAGGAGCAGGAGGCAGCGGCGGAAGGAGAAGACGAGGAGGAGAAGAAGGACGAGGTGAGAACGTTCAAGTACGCGCCAAGACAACCCAATCCCATGTTCCACGTACCTCCTTCCTTCCACCAATCTTCACCCTCTTCCCTCCAAGCTCGCCTCAGCTACCTTCTCCTAGTTATCCCCCCCTTACGCCCTCTCACACTCACTCCTCTTGGTTCCCCCCAGCCAGCTCCCACTTCCAATCCCTATCCCCTCTCCCCCATGCTCCTCCCCACCCCCCACACGCGCCAGGCAGCATCACCTCCGGCCACACCCTGTCTGCTAACCCTAGCAGAATCACCCACGGCCTTCACATTCCAAGCGCACCCGCACTCCGACGACCCGCAAGCCACGGCCTTCTGGCTGTCCTCTCTCCGCCCGGTACCGCGCCTCACCGCATCAGTCCTCCTCTCAGACATCGAGTCGCGCGTCGCCACCATCCGCCGCAGACGGCCGCCCGTCACCGAGGCCTCCCTTCACACGGTCGTCTTCTTCCTCGCTCTCGGCCTCACCCCCTCGCGTGTACTCGACCTCTTCTCCCGGGTGCCCTCGCTTCTCAAGAGCCGCTGGGACCGGGACCTGTTGCCCAAGTTTCACCTGCTGCTGGCAGCAGGGGTAGAGCTGCCGTCCGTCTTCTCAGCTCTCAACTCAATCCCCAACTGGCTGCGCTGTGAGACGCGCGGGCTGGCGGGCGTGGTGGGGTTCCTGCAGGCCATGGGCGTGCGGAGGGAGAAGATGAGCAGCATTGTGAGGCGCGCGCCTGCCGTGTTGCAGTATGACGCGAACAACAACCTCTGGGCGTGGGCTGAGGCGCTGTCTGGGCTAATCATGCAAGAGGACATGGGCGATGGGGATGAGGAGGCGGAGGAGAGCGAGGAGGAGTGGGGTGAGGGAGGGGGTGCGGTGGATGGGGAGGAATTGGGGGTGGTGGAAGGGGAACAGGGAGGAACAGCGGTGCCAGGGATAGCTTCTGATCAAGAATCTGTGGTACTGGCCCCAGCCAGTGCAGGATCAACTGCAGGACAAGCGGCCGATGCACACACAGAGCTAACGCCAACACCAGCATCTGCCAAAGACGCAGCAGAGACAGAGAGCCAGGCAGGCACAGGGATGAAACCCGAGGGCCCGGCGTCAATATCCCCGCAGCTGCAGGCGGCCATGGAGCGGCGTGTGTTCGGGCAGTTCATCGAGAAGTACCCGCGTATCATGTCCAACTCCGCGCCCTTCATCACCCACCGCGTGCGCCTCCTCTGCTCACCTGCTTTCGGCCTGCGCCTGCCCAAGCTGCTGCGCAGCGCCAACCTGCTGGGCATCAAGGAGGAGAAGCTGAGAGCCGCTCTGGCGTTTCTGGAGCGGGAGGTGGCGTGGAGCAGTGAAGATCTGCGCATGATTGTGAATGCACAGCCGACTATTCTGGGACTGGACCCGGAGAATCTCAAGGAGAAGGTGCTGTGTGTGACTAGACTGCTGGATGGGCCTGGTTACGCTGCTGGTGCTGTGGGCGTTGCTGGTGGCGGTGCTGGTGTGGGGAATGCAAGAGAACAACAAGCCCCAGTAACACCATCTTCAGCTGCACCGGCTGTGGCATCTTCACCTGCTGAAGCATCAACAACAGAATCAGCAGCAGCAGCAGCACGGTCGCGGCACACGCGTTCGTCCATCTGTGGGCCAGCAGCACGAGACGCCTTCCACGTGTACCCGTCCCTGTTGGCCACCAGTGTGAGCACGTTAGAGGACACCTTCTCCCACTTCCAAGCCCGCTTTCCCCCTGATGCCGTGCGCTCCCTCCTCTCCACCTACCCGTATCTCCTCTCGCGCAAGTGGGAGCGCAATCTGGGCCCAAAACTGGACTATCTGGTGGAGGAGACAGGGCTGGATGCTAGTGAGGTGCTGCATTATCCGCTCTATTTCACACACAGCCTTGAGCGGCGGATCAAACCTCGGATTTCAGCGTTTCAAGCAGCGGGGTATCGATTGGTGTCCGCTGCAGCGGGGGCACAGGGGGGAGGGGAGGAGGGGGAAGGGGACGGGGAGGGAGGGGAGGAGAAGGGTTGGGTGAGGAGTAGAGGGCGGCCGTCGAGGGCCAACAGCGGGGAGTGGATGCGGCATGGTGTGTTGCTGACCACTCTGCTCCACTGCACAGATGCTGAATTCGTGAAGAAGTTTGGGGTTCGCCTAGGGGTGCCGAGGGATTAGATTGGGATAGGATGGCCGTGGAGGCAGGCGGATTACTGGAACAAGTAAATTGCAAATTGCAGTATTTACATGATTCCACCAGACTGGACTTGTGGAGTAGCCAGGGCAGGGCTTAGCTTGAAAGACTATGTGATGCAGGCAGGAGGTACCACATTGCAGTTGGACTCCAGAGCAGCTTCGATTGATTTGAAACAAATCACCCTCGATGGCATATGGTACCCCATGCTTGAGCTAGCAGCAGCACGATGGCTGATGATCAGGTAGCGTGGAAGTGAGAGCACATGGCCTACACCACCTGCTTGTTGTGACTTCTATTGCGCGACATCCAGATGCATGTTGAAAGTACATCTTAACAAAGAAATATAGCAGGCTGGTACAGTAGCTACTACCGTATGAACAAAAATGATGATCAATAAAAACACTGGTAGGAAGGTACAGCTATATACGGTAAATCCAACCAAACTTGTACCCGTATACTCCCGGACAAAACACCCCCCCATAATTGTACACCCCCGGGTAGCTTGTGCGGGGTGGGTGTTATGATAGACCTCGTTTCCAGGCACTACGATATCAGGAATTTTACCCTGAAATTCCTGATTTTCAGGGTTTTTTTTTTACCTACCCTGAAAATCCAGTGTTCAGCTTTTCCTAGGGCTGATTTTTCAGCCTTCACATGCCACATGACTCTGAACTTTCAGCAATTTTTTTGAAGTGACACTGATGCCTTTACGTTGTAACGAGTTTGACCCTGAAAGCGAATCCTACTACTAGGTACGAGTGTACTTGACCGGAAGTACTGGGAAAATCAGATTCCCGCGGTGTCAGCAGGGCCTGTCGTTGACTATCGGACAATTTTGCCCACACTCATGGCCCCTTAGTTGGCGCGCCTGGTCCGTTCATTGGCCACATTTGCAACATTAAGTGACTTGACCAATTACAAGGTTGCAGCACAGAGATGCTGGCAGGCTGCGCTGCGAGGGATTCTGGCGGTCTAGGTCGTGCTGGCAAGCACTGATGCATCCACGCCTCCCAGCCGTGCTACCTGCCATCCAGCCTCACATCCCGTTCTGCTGTTTGCTTCCTTCCTAGTGTTTTTACTACTAGTAAAATAAAGACTACCGTACTAGTATCAGCCTTTTTCTGTAGGGAACACTGATGCATCAGACTTTTTTTTTAAGTAACACTGAACTTTCAGGCTTTTTTTTTAGGCGACCCTGACGATCAGGGTCTAGGGGCAGAGGGACCCTGATACCCTTACGTGCCTAAAAGTGAATCTGAGGGCCTGCTCGTTTCTACTATACCCCCCTTTTTGGCTGATTTTCTATAACACCCCCCTTTTCTTACATATTCATTATTATAGTCGTTAACGAGTAGCTGCAATACGGAAGAATATCGTGTGAATTTCTCCCTCAAGGAAATTTCGCGGTACATCCAATGGCAATCTGCCTAGACTTGCCCCCTCCCACTATTTCTCTGTTGCCACGTGCAGGTGAATCTTCCGTTGCAAGTGGCAAGAGAGGTGCCACATGGCATTTTCGTGAGGGCGATGAAGTTCGAGGCCGAAACTCACATTCACGTCTCAGGCAGTGATGCTAAAAGGACCAGCAAAACACCCACATTGACTAATTAAAAAACCACTAACACTAAAATATGCCATATGTAAAGACCCGGGTATTATGCATTTTTTTTCCTATGAGGAGACCCCTGTCACAATAGTAGATGTCACAATAGTAGATTAAGCTAAGACTAGGGTTTCGGGTAGGAGGAGACTTAGTGAGAAACATGTCGAGAGAGTTTGCCAAAAGAGCGGTTTCATTATAGAATCAAAGGTACAAATAGGCAAGAAGCAAGACAAGAAGGTGCACCACCAAACAGGATGATTAGGATAACTACACTACAGCTAGAACTATATGCAGTTATAACAATATAATTTTGACATCCCCCCATAACTGCATGCAGGAATAGCCAAGTGCAAGACACAACCTGCAGGGGTACATCATAGACAGAGAAAACAGCAACAGCAAGCAAGAGCAGTTGCAACCAGTGCAGTGGTAGCAGATTCAGCTGCACCAACCCCTCAGCCAAGATAGAAGCAGCAGAAGCAAGTGTAGGGGCGGCAGGTCGCCTGAGGAGCAGGCTCTGTGGCTGCAACGTGCAGCAGGACAGTAGCGGCTCGACGGCAGCACCTGCAGGTCCCAGCAGCAGGTAGCAAAAGACAGGGCAGGTGGCGACAGGGGCGACAGCTGGAGGTGCCACAGTAGCAGCTGGCGGCAGCAGCAGATGCCCGGCTGAATTTCGCCACTGTCTCACCCTCCCCCCCACGGCAGCACACGCGGCAGTGAGAGAGAGAGGAGGAGGGGCGGCTGCTGGCTCGGCAGAATCTCTCTCGTCACTCCCTCACACTCTCCCCCTTTTCCCTCACCCTCCCCCCGCAACCTGCCGCTGGCGCTGGCTTCTGCCATCCGCGCTGGCGCCTAGCACCGGCGTCCGCTTCGAGCGTTGGCGTCCGCGACAGCGTCAGCGCTGGCGCCGGGCGCTGGCGTCGGCGTTGGTGCCTGGCGCTGGCGTCGGCGCTTGCGTCTGGCGCTTGCGTCTGGCGGTGGCGTCCGCGACGACGTCGGGAGCAGGCGTCCGCGTTGGAAGCGGGCGCCGAGGTGACGGGACGAGGGGCGCCGATGCGAGGCGCCGCGGCGACAGATCGTGGGTCGCCGCGGCGACGGGACGCAGAGCGCCGCGGCGACTGCAGCGGCAGGGCGACGGGGCGAGCGACGAGCGTAGGAGCTGCCATTCCGTGAGCTGGCAGAAACGAGCATGAAGCTTCTGCAGTATTTGCGCTTGTGCGCTAGCAGGGGCGTCATTGCTACGAAAGGGTGGGCCCATTTAGACGTAGGTCCAGGAGCTTACAGCTCTGATAGCATGTCACAATAGTAGATTAAGCTAAGACTAGGGTTTCGGGTAGGAGGAGACTTAGTGAGAAACATGTCGAGAGAGTTTGCCAAAAGAGCGGTTTCATTATAGAATCAAAGGTACAAATAGGCAAGAAGCAAGACAAGAAGGTGCACCACCAAACAGGATGATTAGGATAACTACACTACAGCTAGAACTACATGCAGTTATAACAATATAATTTTGACAACCCCCCCCATTTTTTCCCTGTATTTTTAGCTATACCCTAGGGTGTTATGTCCGGGAGAATACGGTACATCAGAATCTAGTGGGCCTGCTGCTGGCCAATCAAATGCAGCCACACGTCAGACCAGGAACCCAGAGAGTAGATTCTGCAGCTGCCAAGACAACCAGTCACGCCACATGGCACGCCACCAGCCACGTGCCAGACCAGGCAGGTGAGAAGTCAACTGACATGCGGCACCCACAAGCAGCCACACTCGCAGAAAATGGCATGCGGAAACGGCAGGCCTGAGAGTGTCGCACAAACAACAGAATTCACCCACTTAAGTGGTTCGGTTGTGGAAGAGTGGAGGGGGGTGTGAGAGATGAGGAAAATGAGGGGTTGGTGGTAGGGGAGGGGAGTTGAAGGGTGGGAGAGGAGAGGGGGGGGGGGGGGGGGGGGGGACGAGGAATCAGCGAGGGAAAGTTGAGGTATTGGAGGGGGAAGGGGATGAGGGGTGAGTCGGAAAGCAGGGAACAGGGGTGGAGGGAGAGAGGGGGGGAGCGGAGTGAGACAAGGGGAGGTGAGGGTGGGCGTGAAGGAAGAGAACAAGAGAGGCAGCAGTAATATCTGGTGCTTCCGCTTCTCTCCCTTTTTTCCCCTGCGTTCTGGCCTAGAAACGTCACGCATCTCTCAGCTCACCTACTCGATCATATTCCCCACTCTCCCCTCGTTTTCCCCGCTCTCCCTTCATTTCCGCTGCTCTCCCCTCATTTTCCCCGCTCCAGCTTCCCAAGGGAGGGAGGAGGGAGAGGAAAGGACGTTTCTAGGCTAGGCCACAGGGAAAAAAGTGAGAGAAGGGGCAGCGGGGGAAGGGGGGAAAAGAGGTGGGATAGGGGAGGGGAGAGGGAGAGGGGGGGGGGGGGGGGGGGTGGGGGACACGTTTCTTGGCTAGGTCACGGGAGGAAAGGGAGAGACAAAAAAGCGGGGAAACGGGAAGGGGGGAGATCAAAGGGTGGCCGCTTCGCCTTTTACTTTCCGCCAATCCTCTCCGTCCTCAATCATATCCCTTCACCCGTGCATTCCTTCTTTTCTCCCCTCCACCCACCTCCCGGCCTCCCTTTTTACCGTCTTGCGTCCAGGGTACCATCGACGCGCACTAGAATCCAGGAAGATGACGGGGAGAGCGGAAACGGGAGGAGGAAGCACAAAACAAGGGGAGAGTGGCTGCTTCGCCGTTTCGCCAGTCCTTACCATCCATTTCAACATCTTCTCCCTTCCACTCACCTCGCGCCCTCTTTTTTTTCCGTCTTGCGTCCAGGATACCGTCGAGGCGCCGAGGTCGTCGAAACGCGCTGTATAATCGACGAAACGCGCTGTATAATCGACGAAACGCGCTGTATAATCGACGAAACGCGCTACCTTACCGATGCGTCCGAAATCGACGCTACTAATTCGTCCAGAAAGGATTCAATCCGCATCATGTGAATAGAAGCCAGATCTGGATCGCGCAACTTCTTACCGATACTACGACATCTTATCATAACAGATACAGCTTGCACGCCAACAGACGCCTGAAGCGACAGTAAGTACCACCGAGAAAGGGAGCAACACTTGCTACATCGTAAAAAAAAAATCTGCCATGAAAAAGCTGTACTCACCGCGCTGAGGTCTGACCTAACAAGAATCATCCATGGACACTAACAAGGTGAGCGGCGAAACTAGAACTGAAAGCAGATTAGGAGGAGAAGTCACACCCTCGCTACTACTTTCTGGACTACTACGGGTGAGGGATTAGGCGTGGCAGGTTCAGAAATTCGAGGTTCGGGTTGTTGATAATGGCGTGGTGATCGTGTCAGGGTGTCAAAACCACTCTTCATTCCATTGGTTCACGTAAATCTTTTCTCATCCACCCATTGTTTTTCCTGCTGCCCAGCCAGCCGAACTTTTCAGCACCAATCACGAATTCCACGACCAAATCAAAGCCGTCCCGCACCTCACGCCGAACTAAAAAAAACTCATCTATGCTGTACGATTTCCCACAAAAAAAACTAGTGACCCAACTAAAGATAGTGCCACGTCAACCACCTCCTAGAAAGTTCGAGCCTGCCCTTCTCCACAAGCACGTTCAACACACCTCCCCCTGCACAAACACGCGCCCTTAGCAAAATCGTTTGCATATGGACAATCAGAACCAATATGCAATTGTCAACCCAACTGTGTACTCTACCATGAATGTACACCCTGTTTCTCGACCCTCTCACCTTGCGCGATTCGTTGCTACAGTGCGGTCAGGTGCCATAAACCGTATGGCTGAATCCTGCGGGCAAAGCCGCACCAGCTGACGGAGTGGTCCTGGGGGCAAAATTTTCCTTTATCGCTGTATACCCTTTTCAACCGCTTTGAAACGCTTGGTTAATGTTCTTTACCATGCAGCATCCTAGCTAACCGCTTTCTTGTGAATGTGCTTGTACCGTCGGTGATAAGACCATTTCAAACGTGGTGACGTTCTACAACCGGTGCATGTTCTGCAACCAGATGCTCTGCTAGCGCGAAACAGGGTGTATTCAACATGGGTTGGGTTGGATGGTCATTTTGGATCCTGAGGTGTATGACACGGACAGATTTCCCGCCATTGCTTCAATTAGAGCCCTCCCGCATACACCTCAAGAGATATCTGTTCGCGTCGACGAAGGGCAATTTTCAGTAACCAATGGGTTCGCCAATTCGCAAGAACCTGAGTTGGCTGGCCTCCTTCAACCGGATGATGACCTCATAGCTGCTCTGTAGCTGTCTACCGCCGCTTGTGTCAGACCCAGCCCAACTCATCGCCCTGGATCCGCCTCAGCACTAGAGCGGCTCAAAGTGATATCACGCTTCGGGAAACGAACCGCGCCGTTGGATTAGCGGCTGTTTTTGGCCACGTCACAAGATTTTCGAAATTGGTGTTTCTACCCGTGTTTCTTTCTGTCCAATCAATTAGCCTACCTGTCTTCAACTGAAGCCACAGGATAATGCTCCCATCGCATGTGGTCGACTCCACACTAGGCGATCCAATTGGAAGCTACTTTTCATGTTTTCGGCGGATTGTTCCGATCCACCGCATTCCAGCGTGGCACATTTGGGACCACCTTCACAGCCAGCAAGGCATATTCTCAACTTTTGAATGGTTTCATCACGTTAGGCGTCGCGACGTCGGGATACCAACGGACCGCATTCAGGCAGGTGCACGGTTTCCTGCAGATCCATTGATGATCATCCGCTGTTCTCCTCGAAAATTAGTTCGTTTCGTCAGCCTCCTTGACATTATTGTCAACCGAGCTTAGCTTTCGTTCGCTCTAGCGGTTTCAAAGCGTCGTCATCGTTTCACGTCCCCACCAGTCAGCCTGGCATATATCGATTGGTCGAATCGCCGAGCGTCATGACGTCTCACATCTTCGTTAGACGACTTCACCTGGTTATTGTTTTCAACGTCAGGTACACAAACAGCCGTATTTCGTTTTCGTTTTTTGTTCGTTTTTCTTGCATTCTTTTCTTCAATCCGTTTACTAACTTCTGCTCATTTTTATTGTTGCAGCTTGCATGGAGGCTCCTGTTCGTACTTCAGAAGGCATTGGTGGAGGGACAACCTTTGGCAGCCTCCCAACCAATCTTCATGGCGGGCAAATAAGGAGCTGCTCCTCGATTTAACTTAACGGTGAAGGTTGAATGTATCAACCCCACCACAGAGCCATCCCCCCTGGTACAGGTTTGGTATAGGTTTGGTACAGGTGCGGTACAGGTCCCCTCAAGGTATTTTTTTTGGTTGGTAATCGGTTCTGTGGTGCTGTGGTAAGCAGCAGCATGTGTTTTTCCCGCTTTTTCATAGGCTTTGCTTGTTTTTGAATTCGATTTACTAACTTATGCGTTTTCATACTTGCAGGTTGGACATGAAGGCTTCTGGACGCCACTTCAGAAGGCATTGGAGGACCAACGGCCTTCATTACATCAACCTTGAAGCTTCACGGCACCAAAGGAGCAGCTCCCCAACTTACCTTCACGGTGAAGGTTGAATGTATCAAACCCACCACAGAGCCATCCCCCCGGTTTAGGTTTGGTACAGGTTTGGTACAGGTGCGGTACAGGTCTCCTGGTATTTTTTTTGGTTGGTAATCGGCTCTGTGGTGCTGCGGTAAGCAGCAGCATATGCTTTTTCCGCTTTTGCACAGTTTTTGCTCGTTTTTGCACGGTTTTTTTTATTCGGTTTACTAACTTATGCGTTTTTGTACTTGCAGGTAGGACATGGAGGCTCCTGGGCGCCACTTCAGAAGCCATTGGAGGACCAACGGCCTTCATTACATCAACCCTTCAAGCTTCACGGCAGCAAAAGAGCAGCTCCCCAACTTACCTTCACGGTGAAGGTTGAACGTATCGGCCCCACAGAGCCACCCCCCCCGGTTAAGGTTCGGTAAAGGTTTGGTACAGGTGCGGTACTGGTCCCTTAGGTTGGTAATCGGCTCTGTGGTGGCGTGGTAAGTATTCTTTGAGTTTTGTTTTTGCATCCTTTGTTAATTCAGTTTACTAACTTATGCGTTTTTATACATGCAGGTTGGATATGGAGCCTCCTGGGCGCCACTTCAGAAGGCATTGGAGGACCAACGGCCTTCATTACATCAACCCTTCAAGCTTCACGGCAACAAAGGAGCAGCTCCGCAACTTACCTTCACGGTTAAGGTTGAACGTATCGACCCCACAGAGCCACCCCCCCCCGGTTAAGGTTCGGTAAAGGTTTGGTACAGGTGCGGTACAGGTCCCTTAGGTTGGTAATCGGCTCTGTGGTGGCGTGGTAAGTATTTGAGTGTTGTTTTTGCATCCCTAGTTAATTCAGTTTACTAACGTTCGCTTGTTTATTCTTGCAGGTTCTATTCAACGCGCTTGTTCCACACTGCTAAGCGCGGGGTGAACGTACCTGCCGACACCACTGGCAGGCGCCTCCTCTCTCTCCACCAGCCGTAAGTCCCCTCTCTCTGGACTCATCTCTTGCTTTCTGTTGCTTAGTGATTCCGAAGTTGCTTGATTTACTAACTTGGTTTTATTGTTACTGTATGTGGCAGGTTGCTCAACCAAGCGACCATCCATGGCTCACCATGGTCTGTTGAGGCTTCTCAAGGCTCAAGAATGGCGACGAGATAAGTTGCCTGCGCCTTGTCTTTAACGCTTGCTTAGTTTTCTGCACTTCCCTCTTGCTGATTCTTTTGCTTTATTCAAGTTGTGGCTTCATAATGATCCCGTTCACTGACTTGGTTCGTTTACCTCCTGGCAGTTTCTCTCCAAGAGCTCTCTTCAATGCATCTCTTCACGGCCACGAAGCCTCAAGTCCCTGCGCACTGCTCAACACCTTCAACTCCCCAACTGCAGATAAGTCTCAGTCCTTAACGCCAAGTCGGTTTTGCTAAATCTATTTTATGAATTTGTGTTCATCACTTTGCTTTGTCGCATGCTGCCTCCTTTCTGTTTTTAAAGAGCCTGGACTAATCTTTTCCCTTTCTTACCACGCAGGTTCTTTTATGGGCAGCAACTATGGCTGTTTATAGTTGCTGCCCATAAAAGTGCATGTGAGGGGTTGAACCCTTGAGCATTGGGCTAAGCACTCGAATCCGGGCCAAACCGGACTGGTTCTGTCCCCCTCCGCCCCCGCCAAGTGCCAACACTGTCTGGCCAGCAGTTGTTGTCATTTGGTGGAGGTGGGGGTGGGCAGAGCTAGTCCCTAGTAGGGTACTCGCACGTCTTGGGCGAAGCAATGCTCATGGCTCAGGCTTCCTCTCTGCCTGTTGCGCTGCCAGTCCAAGCCGGGGTGGGCATGGATGGCATGCATGGATAGTAGTCCATGAAGGACTTATGATGAACCTGTGGTTGACAAGACTAGCACTAGGAAGGATACTAGTGGGATTAGACAGCTTGTTATGATGTCTAGGCAGAGAATTAATGGATAATATTGATTGCACCTTAAGGATCATGTGCTTGCCGTTTGTACACCTCTTACTGCATGCCTTGATAAAGAGAATCCAGGTAACCTGGTATGCGAGTATAAGCAGATATACCGAGAAACCTCACACATAAACATACCGGTATTGATCGGACCTGTTTCACAGGAGTCTAAATTTGGTGGAGGCAACTAAAGAATATGAAAATCGTGATTTGGATCGATGTACCTACTGTCATGGATTGGACTCGCTAACCAAAGTATCTCTCAGTAACGGTGCCTTTCCTCGTAATCCTCCATCCCCGTTCCCATTTCTCTGTGGCTATTCTCGCCATTCTCCGTTCTTGCATTATAGCGATGGCTTGGGTGGATGGTCGGAGTCACAGAGGACATTGCATGGTTGCAGATTTGTTGACGACAGGAAGACCTGTTACCTACATGGGTGGTGCTATCAGCAATGAGGTAGAGTGGGCCAGTTAGGATTTGCACATCGCACATTGAAGTTTGTGCAACCACGTGGGCTTGTGTGAGGGGCTTTGCCGTGCCCGTAGCACCTTAGTTGGTCTAATTACTTGCAGAATCATCCACCCACACAACTGGTTTTCTCTCTGCCCAAGCTTGTGGTACCGTACCGGTAATCGCTCCTCAATCAACCTTACTGAGGGAACTGAGATAGCATTTGTAAGATAATCATATGCAAACAGTTTCTTTGTCAAACAAGCAGTGTGCAGTGCATGCAGAGCACGCATGGTAGTCGATGACTGATGCACAGTGGAGCACCCACTGCAGAATATACATGACGGCCTAGCTGCAGCAGCAGCAGCAGCAGGTGACAGCAGCATCAGCTGGCAAAGAGTATGCCAGCAGCGTGCTCCTCGTTGTCCCCTGTGAGTGCAAGAGCCTGCTCCACGAGCTGCCGGGGGAACCCCAGCTCCATCAGCCGCTGCACCTTCACCTCGTGCGCTGACACTGCTGGGGCTGCTGCTGGTGTTGCCTGCATGCAGCGCAGAGAGGGTGGGTGGGAGGACGGGTGAGGGTGCAGGGGGCGTGTGCACAGCGGTGGATGGACCCTGAGATATTTGTACAATGAGGAGGGGAGGTGGGGAAGGGAAGGTATTGGAGCAGAGTGGGCAGGGGAGAGAGGCCCTGAGTGTGGAGTGCACACGGCTTGAGCTCACCTGCCCACCGGATGCTGCTGGTGATGCAGCACCTGCTGCTGCTGACACCGGAGCACTGCCTTGACTTGCTGGCGCCCCTCCCCCGCTACTCGCAGCACCCCCTGCTGCTGTGCCTGCTGCTGCTGGTTGTGCTGCGGAGGGTGCAGCGGGTGCAGAGGTACCAGCAGCGGAAGCGGAGGGTTGGGAGGGCTGTGCAGGGGTGGCGGAGTCGGGCAAAGGGTCCTGGTCCATTGCGGTGAGGAAGGCCGGGATGTCCTTCTCTGCACGCACGCACCCAGGTGGGACGGGAGTGGAGAGAGTGGCAGGTGAGAAGGGCAGCGTTGTGGGAGGAGAGTGTGGTGGAGAAGGGGTGAAGCGAAGAGGGTAAGAGGTAGGCTGAGAAGGGTAGCGGAACCAGGGCTGGAAGGGAAAGGTGAAAAACGCTAGACGGGGGAATTACATGGGACATTACTTGTTCTCGTTTTCTGAAATGCTGGTTACTGGTGGAATAACGTACCTGAGAGGAAGGGCACTGCTATTTCACCCCCTCCAACTCGCAATACGTTGTCCTTGAGATCGATGCAACACTGGCGGTAGCATGGGGAGGGGGAACATTGTGGTTGGTGAGAGACAACTTTGTGAGAGAGACAGCATTGTGGGGGAGCAGGATTGCGTGAGAGCAGAGCAAACCTGAGAAAAGGGACAGGCCTGATGACAAATGAGTGGCACGCAGACTTTTCTGGTGTGCACGAAGGGAAGGGAGTGGGGTGAAGGTGCAGCAGCGAGCAGTGTACCTGGTGGCGTCTGAGCATGTCGAGACCAAAGAGGAAGTCCACGTTGTCTGCCTCCAACACCGTGATGCTGCACATGTAGAAGTTGGTTCCTATCTGATACACACACGACGTCATCAGAGCACAGAAACAACACCATGCACAGACACAGGATCAGGCACACGCACAGGCAGAGTCATAGGCACACACGCTCACGAACACGCATAGTATGCATACACATGTGATAGTGCACGCATGCACTCCCACCCGAGGGGAAGAACGCGGGAGAGAGGCCGAGAAGCGAAACCTCTTGTGATTATTACTCCGTGCCAAGCGCCCCCCCCCTTCATCCACCAGCTTTCTCCTGCTGCAACCCCCCACTACCCTCCTCCATTACCCTCACTCCTCCTCTAATCCCACCCATCATCGCATCCCAACCCCTTCTCCCCTCCTTCCCTCCTCCCTCCTCCCTCTTCCCCCCTTTCCTCTCAACCGCTCTCCACTCCCCCCCAACCCCACCTTGAGCTGCACGGTATGGATGCGCCCCACTATCTTGGACGTGCCCACGCCCCGCGCCACCCCCTCGTACCGCCGGTCCAGCAGCCGCATCAGCCTTCACTCACACATACACGCATGCACACATGCACACACACAAGCACGCAAACATGCACCCGTACATGCACGCAAGTAAGCACACATGGATGCATGGGCAGGACAACACATGGGGGGCGGAACAACACATGGGGGGCGAGCGTGGATGCATGCAGATGAGATGACCAGTGGAGATGGTGGGTAGCTTCATGGCAAGGACAAGAGCGAGGGGCGTTGGTGGGATGGGAGTGGGGTGGCATGGAAGTCGGGTGAGGAAGATGTCAGCAGAGCAGTATGAAGGTGCAGAGCAGAGCAACAGGCATGGGTTGTGGAGTGAGGGCGTACCCGCATCGCTCAGCACATCGCTGTGACATGATGGTCTGCTGCGCCCCACTGTCCACAAACGCCTGCATGGGGGTGGTTGGTTGGTTCATGGGGTCATGGAGATGCGGCGATCGGATGATGATGTGAAGGGCCAAGGGTTGAGTTAATGGGGCAACCGGAAAATGAGGTGATGTGATTCTGGGATGATGGGGTGATGCGGGCATGTGGTGCAGCATGCATCGTTGCACATTGACAAAACGTAGACACATGCGAAGTGGCATAGTGGAAAAGACTGGCACGTGCGGGAGATGCATGATGAGAGTGGTACAGCATGTGGAAGAGGGGAGGCGGGGCCGCTTTTCTGAGGGAGTTGTTCACCTCCATTCCGACATACAGCATGTGCTTGGGGGATGATTTTGAAATGTCTCAAAAGTGACTCTAATACAGCTGATGATACACTCCCTCAATTGTTACTGTTTTGGAAGTTACCTTGATGGGCGAGTTGTTGACCTCCATCTCCACATACAGCATGTGCTGGCGGCGGGGAGGGGCGGGAGGGGTGGCACCGGCAGAACGAAAGGCACAGTGCGGGGAGGAGGGCGGAGGATGGTGAGCGGAACGGGGTTGCATGCACGGCACACATGCAGCAGGAATGGGAGCAGCATGGTGGGAGCAAGACGGGGTGCATGGTGTGACGGGAGGGAGGTATGGTGGGAGGGGAGGGAAGCATGGTGGGAGGGGAGGGAAGCATGGTGGGAGAAAGAAGGGTGGCATGGTGCAAAGGATGGATGGGAAAAAAGTTACCACAGCAATGAACTGCTCGGGGGCGTGCTCATATGCTCATCCAAGCCATGCTCCTCATCCAAGGCTTGGATGAGGAGTGTACCACAGAAACAAACAAAAGTGGTCAGAAGTTGAGGCGAATCGAATATAGCCAGTAGACTTACGACAGCAATGAACTGCTCGGGGGCGTGCTCGTACGCCGCTGCATAGTTCTCATCTATGTTCTTCTGCTCCCATGGCACAGCACCGCACCGCACATGTGACATGCATCCATCCGCCACATACACACAAGATGCATGCACACATACATTCACACACATGCGGGATCCGTACAAAGAGAGAAGGGTGAGAGTTGTTGGACATGGAGAGGAGTAAGGAAGGGGGGCTGAGGAGCAGGAGGTGATGGCGGGGACAGATACATGGGGGCAGTACAGCGGAAACTGGAGGACGGAATCAGCTGATAGACGGATAGCATGCATGTGTCACAACGTGCAGAGAACTGGCAAGGCAAGGAGATATGGAATGGCATCCCATGGCATGGTATTCCATGGCATGGCATGGATGGAGTGGTATGAACAACCCACCTGCTGAATGCGCTCCTCTATCCTCCGCTGCACCTCAGGGTCAAATGGATCGGCTGATAGCAACTCCTGCATGCATGTAGTCATGCACACATGCACCCATGCATTCATCCTCCCATGCACCCATGAGCACACACAGGAATGATGCAGATTAAGAAAACACAATACGCCCGACTAAGCACGCAAACAAATATCAGAAAGAGGTGCACGTGGATCAACAAAGTGAGACGCATACAGGCTGCCCCACGGACTTGTTGTGTGAGCGAGTGACGTGCACGCACCTGCTCCTCCTGCTCCTTGCGGCGCATCTCGTTCTGCATCTTCCGCATCCAGCGCAGCACCTTCTGCATCTCCTCCACCTTGTTGTCCCTTATCGCCTCGCCCAACTCCGGTGTGCTCTGATGGTGAGCACACACACACACGCATACACACAGACACAGACACAGACACACACACACACACACACACACACACACAAAAAAAACACACACACACACACATACACACACATACACACACACACACATGAGCACACACAAGCTCCGACCCAAAATTCCCCCCCCCTCCGCCTCCCGCAAACATTCACAGAACCCCATAAAGGATTGGGATGCATTAGAAGCAAGGGAAGGAACGTGGGAAGAGACAAGGCAAGGAATGAAGGGAGTGGGACGGAGCTTGATACCAAGTGAGAGGCGAGGGAAAACAAACGAAGGATGGGAGAAGAGATAGCAGAAACTTCACTCGCACTTAGTGTCACATGTACCGTACATGCCACCCCATGCATACCATGCCATACAGTTCCCTGCTATCATTCACCATGCCCAGAATACCCATGCAATGATCTGCCACACCACGCCTCACCACGCCACAGCACCCAGGGCATACCATGAGCAGGCGGGCCATGAGGTCAGGGTCGCTGAGCACGTGCTGTCGGAACGCCTGAGGGTCCACCGCTGACCCATCCTCCTGCTGCGCCATCGCTGCTGGCGCTGCCGCTGCCGCCGCTGCTCCTGGTGCGCGCGCTTGGGGCTGTGATGCTCCTCCTTGGGATGCGCGCTGCTGGGATGGCTGCTGCCTGGTGGTCAGGCGAGGATGGGAGATGCATGTGCAGGGCAGAATGACGTCATGTAATGTACAGACAAGGCCAGGCAGCGAGAGCGGAAATGACAGAGAGGTAGGCACGCGGGAAGAGAGGAGGGGGGGGGGTGGGGGGAGGAATGGGGGGAACGAGGAGAGCAGGTAGGCTAAGATAAAGACATATTTCAAATGAGACGACGGGCGGGTGAAGCTAGTAGGCTGGTATGGTGGGTCTGACCGTGTGAGGAAGAGCAGGTCGTTGTCCGCCACACCCAGCGCGTTCAGTCGCTGGTGGTTCTGCAGCAGCTGCCCGTTGAACAGCAGCGCTTGCTGCGGCAAGGGAATGCCCGTCTGCGTGCATGCAGCGGTAAACACGCACACGTGGTAGCACACGGGGCAGCATGCATGGCAGGACAGGTGGCAGGACAAAGAGGGGAACACATGCAAGGACGTGCACACAGGGACAGAACGGAAGGCATGACACACGCGGGCATACGAGAAGGGCAAACTGAAAGGCGACAACCGGCAGTGAAGCCTGGACGACAGCATGGCACGCAGCAGCAGTATGAGAAGCAGCATGAGAAGCAGCTGTGAGGAAAAGCACGGATCGGCGGCAGGTATGGAGCAGGGCACGAGGAGGGGGAAGTAGGTGCGGAGACTAGCAATCAAGGGCGCACCTCGACTTCTAAAATCGCCTTCACGTTTTCCACCTGCAAAGACGACAGACGCAGAGAGGAACGGGAGGGGTGTGAGCCGCAGGGGTGGCGGTTCCAGCATGCGACGGGAAGGCAGAGCAAAAAGCAGTCTCGAAGTCGCTGTAACGCGAGTTTCGGAGAGATTAACGAGATTGCAAGGCACAGGGGTTGTGAGTCGTGAGAGATTTGCGCTAAGGGATCGGCTACGTGTCGTGCGGAAGCCATGTCATCAAGTCTACGCTCGAATTCGAAGTTCGAGAGAGGACTGATGGAGCGACACGCGACAAGCGAACGCACCTGCTCGTCGTTGTCGACTTGGATCATGACGATCCGATCGTCCGCTGTCGTCACCGTTAGCTGCATCGCGTCGAAAATCGTGCGAAAATCGTCGGAACAGAGTCAACGCGGAGCAACAGCGATATGAAGGAACTATGGTGGATGGGAACCAGAATCGCGTGAAAGGAAACGCCAGTTAGTTCGTAAATAGCATCTCCACTCCACAGACGACCGCTCCGCAACAGGAGGTTCCAGATTCCTTGTCGAAAGAAACTGGGTCGAGCATTCCGGCTGAAGTTTCCAACCCGTTACAATGTGTTACGGGTGCAATGAATCGAGGTAGCGAGAATTGCACTAAGGTGTCAAACGAGTACAAAATGTGAGCGAAGGCATGAGCGAGCATTTATACGCGAAACATGCAAAACGGTAACGCGGTGCGTGCGAACTTGCTAGTGCTACGCTGGAGCGAGGCTCGGGCTAGTCCCGAAGCGTAGGCCGATACGGCCATGCCAGCAGTGCGAGGTTTGGCAAAACAGTGCGCGCGAAGTCGGCGAAGTTCCGTTAGCAGTAACGGGCGAACAGTCGGCTGTTGCTGTACGCGATGTAGTCGGCTCCGTAAGGAATGCCTGAGAAAATTCCTTACACTACCCCCCCCCCTTAAGAAGCCCCCTCCGCTACGCGAGTGCGTGTATATCGCGGAATCCCCGGCTTCTCAAGTACACTTGCAGGGCAGGGTGATTTTCGATGTTGCTCAGGGGCACCCAGCTATCTTCAGTTGGCGTGCGGTCTTTCCAGCGAACGAGGAATTCAATCCTCCTGATTCCCGTGGGGTGGCGGATCCGATGGCTCAAAAATTTTTCGGGCTCGATGATCGGCTCTGATGCAGGGCGAGTCATTGATTGTGGCCGGTGACGCGGCAGTTGACTCGTGGTCGGGATGTGTGGGCGAAGTAGGCTGACGTGGAACGAAGGGCTGATGTACCAGTCAATTGGCAACAGTAGGTGCGCGGTGACGGGTGTGATCATGTGACTGATTTGGGATGGTCCACAGTAGCGCGGTCGTAATTTTGGTACGTCGGGCAGTCGCAGATTTTGCGTGTCGAGTAGCACGTAATCTCCAGATTGATACGTGACGGGGCGGCGGTGGCGATCAGCGTTGCGCTTAGCGATGACGTTGGCCTTTTTTATTGCTTCGGCGGCTCTGGCGCGGGCAGCTTGCAGGATTTCGGCGAATTGTTGTGCGCGTGGCGTTGGGTTGTCCGGACTCGGCGTCATGGGCACTATGGGGTTCTGCCCATAGTTCAGGTAGAACGGGGACTGCTGCGTCGTGGCTGATGTGGCGTTGTTGTACGCGAACTCGATCAGCGGCAGCTGCTGCTCCCAGGTCGTGGGGTCGTCGCACGTGGCACGAATCAACTGCTCCATCGTCTGATTCGTCCGCTCCGTTTGGCCGTCGGTCTCGGGGTGGTACGACGAACTGAACTGTAGCCTGGTCCCGAACTGCTCCCAGAGGTTCTTCCAGAAGTTGCTGGTAAACTTCGTGTCCCTGTCGCTGATAATTGCTGCTGGTATCCCGTGCAGGCGAACAACGGCTGCGATGAACAGGCGAGCGGTCTCTTCGGCTGAGATCGACTTTTTGCACGCAGCGAAGTGTGCCATCTTCGTCAACCTATCCACGACGACCATCACCGCGTCGTTACCCCCAGGGTTCGAAGGTAACCCTGTGACAAAGTCCATGGTTACTTGCTGCCAGGCGCGTTCGGGCGGTGGGATCGGTTGCAATTGACCCGCCTTCCGCTTCCTTGAACTCTTCATCACCTGACACGTCGGGCACGAGCCCACGTGCTGCTGTACGTCGGTCAACAGCTCCGGCCAGTAATAGTACCGCTGCAGTTGCTGTCGTGTTTTTTCTACCCCGAAATGTCCCGAGGTAATCCCGTCGTGTGCCTCCTGCAGTAGCAGCTCCCTCAGTAGTGAGTACGCGGGTACCCAAATGCGGTTGGTGCCTGTTTTTACGTAATAAACTCCTTTTGCTTCTGCCAGTTGCTGTGAATTTCCGGTCGTGAAAAATGGGTCGGTGCGGTATCCGTGGGTGAATAGGCCAGTTAAAAGCGGGTTGGTCTGGGCGAGTAGGATGGCGTGGAGTTGGGCGGTGGGGCGGGTGAGAGCGTCGGCGATGTTGGATGCTCCTTTTTTGTACGTGACGGTGTAGTGAAAATTGGACTCGAGATAGTCCAACCAGCGAATCTGTCGTGGGTTGAGATTCGGTTGGGCGCGAAGGTACTGTAGCGAGCGGTGGTCTGTCCGTACTGTCACGTCGGCACCAGTCAGGTAACATCGCCAAACTTTGAACGCGTGCACGATCGCTAGCATCTCGCGGTCGTGTATCGGGTAGTTACGTTCGGGCGGGTGTAACTTGCGGGACTCGTACGCGATTGGCTGGAGGCCATTCCCGAAATCCTGCAACAGTACTGCTCCCACAGCGATGTCACTTGCGTCGGTGACGAGCTCGAACGGACGGTGGGGATCTGCAATGTGAAGGACGGGCGGGGAGCACAAAATATTTTTGAGGGCCGAGAAGGCAGCTTGCTCTTTCTCCCCCCACGTGTACTCAACCCCCTTCCTCAGCAGGTCAGTCAACGGGGCAGTCAGTTTCGCCATGTCGGGGACGAACCGGCGCACGTAGTTGACGAACCCCAGGAAACTCTGCAACTCGGTCAAGTTGGTCGGCGCGTGCCAAGCCTGAATCGTCGCAATTTTCTTCGGGTCTATTTCCACTCCTGCAGCTGAAATAACATGTCCCAAAAACTCCAGGCGGTCCTGTAAAAACTCACACTTAGATGCTTTGGTCAGTAGGCGGTTCTCACTCAGGATTTTAAAAACTGCTTCGATGTCTTGTAAGTGCTGTGCTCTGTCAGGGCTGTAAATCAGTATGTCGTCCAGATAAACGATGACGCACTTATCTAAAAGCGGGCGGAATGCTTCGTTCATGGTCATTTGGAAAGTGGCGGGGGCGTTGGTCAGTCCGAATGGCATGACGGTGTATTCGAAGGATCCGTAGCGTGTTCGGAATGCGGTTTTAGGGCAGTCGGGTGGGTTGACGCGGATTTGGTGGTAGCCTCCTCGGAGGTCGATTTTCGAGAAAACCCGGGCTGTGCGCAGTTGGTCGATCAGTTCGTCGGCTCGTGGGATGGGGTAACGGGATTTGATGGTAACCCTGTTCAGTGCCCTGTAGTCGATGCACATGCGAAAACCCCCGTCCTTTTTCGGTGTGAACAGTATTGGTGCGGCGAAAGGCGACGAACTAGGGCGAATGAATTCCTTTTCTAGCAGGTAATCGAGCTGCTTCCTTAGTTCGTCTAGTTCGGGTTGGGTCAGTCGGAACTGTCGCTGTACTGTTGGCTGTGCCCCCGGTTCCAGTTCTATCCTGTGATCGTGCGGTCGCTGAGGTGGCAGTCCCGTCGGCAGGTCATCCGGGAAAATGTCACTGTACTGTTGTAACAGTGCCGCCAGGTCACTCGGTACGTCGGTCAGCAGTTTCTGTAAATCGCCTCCCTTGTCTGCTGCCTCGGCTTCTCGAATGTCAACCGCGTACACGTCGGCTCCGGCCGCAACAGCGCGTTTCATCGTGATCGCGTTGACACGCACCGACGAAGACTCAGGCGAGCCCCAGCGAGGTAAGGCGATGCTGTTACCGTTCACTCGCACGGTGCAGTCACCCGTCGTCCAGTCAATTCGCGGGTTGTGTCGTCGCAGCCAATCACGCCCGAGTAAAATGTCGGTTCCGTCGAGGGTCGTTGCGAGCATTTCCTGACTAAACGTGAAGTTACCCCCGCATCGAATCCAAACTCGGTCTACGCGTTCCCGTATTGCCAGCGGCGTGCCGTCTACCAGTCGTGCGTCGATCTCAGGTAAGCATCGGTCCAGTGGCAGTCGCAGTTTTCGTGCTGTAGCAGTGTTAATGAGGCTGTGGCTGGCTCCCCCATCTACGAAGATTTTAACTAAGTCCGTCCCAATTTTCCCACTGAGCAGTATAGGGCTATCTACCGTGGTACCCTCCTTATTCGGCCGGGTGTGGTCGATTGCGTGAACCGGCACAATCACTCGGTGAGGGTCGGTTGGGTCGGGCGACCGGCGTGACCTGTCAGTAGAGGGCCCGTCTGCTACTGACTTCCAGCGTTTCCCTGCTGCTTGGTCTGTGTCTGCTGCTCAGCTTCCCCCTTTCCCTTAGCGTTTTCCGGGCATTCGCTCTTGCGATGTCCCGGCCGATTGCACGCAAAGCAGCGCCCTTTGAACGGTGCGGCAGCGGCATTTGCGGCGACGGCGCGTATCGTGGCGCTCTCGTTCGTCCCACGAGGCCGATGTCCCCAGGTGTTGTTTCCGTAGGACCCCGGTCTCGGTCGGCGAAAGAAGTCGAGCTTCTCCGCCATAGCGAGAATTTCCTGAAACTCAGTGACGCCGCGAAGCTGGATTTCCTGAGCGATGTCCTGCTTCAGGCCGCCGATGTAGCGGTCGATGCGTTCGCTCTCATGCATGTAGCCCACCTGCTCGCATAGCGCCAGAAATCCGCTCGTGTAATCCTGGACGGAACCGAGTTGGCGCCAAGTGCGGAGCTTCTGTCGCGCCGAGATCGAGGCCGCGATTGGCTCAAATCGAGCGCGCAGACCTGCGCACCACGCGTCCCACGTGCGATACTGGGGCACCTCCACGAAATACGACGGCGCCCAGGGTCCGGTTTGTCCTTCCCGTGTCGGTAGTGTCGCGTAGTCGGTCGGCTTCGTGACGATGACGCGCCACCAGTCCATGGCGGGTCCTCGCAGCAACGACACGGCGTATCGAATCTTCGCCGAGTCCTCCGAGACGTAGTTGGCGTCGAAGAAAACATTCATTGTGAATAACCACGCCTGAACGGTAGGACCACCCCGTTGACTCGGGTCAAAGCATGGCGGGCGCTGCGGTTTCAGCGGCATCGGTGACGGCAGTCCCGAATCGTGGGTTGGTGCCGAAATCGTGACGCGAGGCTGACTTGGGGCCGCAGGCGTCGCTCTGGGGTGTGTCGTGCCGTGGTCGTCGTCTCCGTCGGGGCGGACGACGCCATCACTGGCCGCGCTCGCGGGTTGCCCCACACTCCCGTGTTGTGATGTTGAGGGTGCAGGTTGAATCGGAGTGCCAGGTGCTTGGGATTGTGCTCTCATGAGGTCATTTTGCAGTGATGAGCGTTCTGCCGTCAATGCCGCGATTTCCTCGGAGCTTTCGTGCAGTTGTCGCAGCAGATCGTTCAAACGCTCCTGCGTGAGGGTGGTGACGTCGATGTTTTCGGCCATGACGAAGGGCGTCGGCTCGTCTTAGTCTAGGCGCAGTCGTGGCTGCACGCGTTTACGAGAGAACGCGAGGACAGCGGCTCCTAGGGGCTAAGGTGCGTGAGTCCCTTCGAGTGAAAAATCAAAAGTTGATTTCCTGGTGTGCGGAGATGCGCGGTCCGAAAGAAAGGGGCTCTGATAACCAAGTGTTACGGGTGCAATGAATCGAGGTAGCGAGAATTGCACTAAGGTGTCAAACGAGTACAAAATGTGAGCGAAGGCATGAGCGAGCATTTATACGCGAAACATGCAAAACGGTAACGCGGTGCGTGCGAACTTGCTAGTGCTACGCTGGAGCGAGGCTCGGGCTAGTCCCGAAGCGTAGGCCGATACGGCCATGCCAGCAGTGCGAGGTTTGGCAAAACAGTGCGCGCGAAGTCGGCGAAGTTCCGTTAGCAGTAACGGGCGAACAGTCGGCTGTTGCTGTACGCGATGTAGTCGGCTCCGTAAGGAATGCCTGAGAAAATTCCTTACACAATGTGATAATTGATATTCAACCTCCCATATTTTTCCAGCATATTGCAACAAACAAAAGCTGCCATCAGTGGCTTATGCAAAAGAAGACAATAGAATCTACACTTTTGCACATGCTTCTGAGCTAGCAAATTCACTGTTTTTAACCAATTAGAAGATACCTACAAAACAAATAACCAAGCTACATCCGCTTCCTGATAATGTCATAAGAAGACCCCCTACTTCAGTCACACTGCAGACAATGGTTCTCCCAAGTTATTCCTTCAACCTAATCCCCTCCCCTCAATACTGCTTGCCAACTAGGCCCTAACACCACATTACACCTGACAACGCTGCAGCGGAAGGTACGCCTTCCAGCAAACAAGCCGTTTGCCCTAGTCCAAACGAAGGGGCAGGTGCAGATGAGCAGGCAGTGCGGTAACTGGTGGTATTGAGGGCGATGGATGGGATGACAATGGCGGTGAAAATGCTGCTGCGGGTGGTGGGAGGAAGATTGGGTGGTGAAAGGAAGAGGCTGCAGGAGGATTTCTTCAACGTGCAGTTGAATGCATCTGATTGCCACCAAAAGCGATACCACAGAAGCCTGTCATGCAAGATGAATACCGGTACGACAGATCCTTACCACAAGGGGCATGCGGCAAAAGATAGAGGGGAAAATAAGGGACACAGCATTAAAAATACAAGAAACGAACTCAATAAGAACAAATTTAGTAAATATTAATGGTAAGACTAATGTAAATATTAATGGAAATATTAATGTAAACTAGTAAATTTAGTAAATTTAGGAATTAGAGATAGTGGAATGGACGAATAATGTTAAGCAGCAGATCTCGCAGAGGAGCGCATGCCAGATTTGAATCGGTGGCTCCTTACGGCTCGTGCCATCTTTGTCATCGCACTATGCTAACAGAAGTTAAGGTAATTAAAAATATGCGTGGAAGTATGTGCCTTAGCACATTGCTGCGATGCTCCAAGTGCATGCACGTAGCGCTGGACGGCATGCACGTAGCGCTGGACGGCATGCACGTAGCGCTGGACTGCATGCACGTAGCGCTGGACGGCATTCACGTAGCGCTGGACGGCATGCACGTGCCAAGTGCTGACGCGCAAAGTTGAGCTTGAGTTTCGCGTCCTACTGCTAATGCTGCAGCTAAAGCGAAGGCCTCCAGCGGTGGCAAGCGAAAGAAGTTTTTTATGTAAGCCAGGACAGCAATAAAAACTAATAAAACATTTGAAGCATACGACTAGGAACAGCAGCCAGGAACAGCAGACAAGAAATATCAGAGAGAAACGCCAAGGGCAGCAGAGTACAATACCTTGAAATCGGAGGGAGGACCCGCGGGTCCGTTAGACTTGGAAGACGACGCAGCGGCGGTCCTCGGGGAAGTAGGAGTTCTGCCCCTTGATGACGTTCGACACCATGTTGTACACGCTGATCTCGATCGCCGTCAGGTTCACTCGCACGTACTTGCCCTGGTACGTCGCCGCGCCGCCCGCCGCCGGCTGGAACGTACGCGACTGGATGCCGTCCTGCACGGCGTAGAACTGGTTATCGGGTCCCAGCGTCGTCGAGTTACCGGAGCTGGCGGACGGAGCGCTCCAGACGTTAACGCCGTCCTGACAGATGTAGTCCGCGAGCTCGCTGTTCGCCGCAATCACCTCCACAGTCGCGCCGCGAATAGACGACTCGATGGGCCCGCCGAGGCGCGTGTCGCCGGCGCCGTCGGAGATGTTGAACACGGGGAGAGAGTCCGTGCTGCCTTGGAAGTAGAAGTCGCACATGTTTGGCTGCGGCGGGCACGGGCCCTGAGGAGGAGGTGGGGGAGGGGGTGGAGCCGACGGCGAGGCAGCTTGCGTCGGCACGGCTGTAGCGGCAACCGCGTCGCCGGCTTGCTGCGAGGGCGTGGACGGGGTCTTCGGAGTGGGTTTCGGGTCGCTGCCTGGGGTCGAGGTAACGGTACCGGGGAAGAGCGGGTTACCCGACTGCGCGAAGTTGCCAGAAGAAGAGCCGCCCGACGAGAAACCGTCCTTCGACGAGCCCCCCGCAGGGCGGGAAGGCTCGGAGGAGGAGGGGGCGGCCGGAGTGGAGGCGGCAACGGAACTGGCGGGATCCGTGGCCCCGTCAGAAGGCGATGCTTCCGGCTTCGCCGGCTGTTTAGCGATTTCGTAGGTGAATCCAATCTTGGACAGCTGCGACTTGTGAAGCGTAGGGAACTCGAACAGCTTACGCGCGCGGGCCCACAGGCTGCGACGTGAACGAGATGCATATTGTGCGCTCGCGGCACCAATGCTTGCTGCGACGAGCAGCAGCACCAAGAACTGCAGAAGCAAAGGCTGCGACGGACGTGAAGGAGCCATTGCAGGAAGACTAGGAAAATTAACACCCCTAGGAACTATCCAGCCAACAGTGAGAAGGGCTGGGGATTTATGAAGAGAAGAGGGGGCTCAAAGTGAATGCCTGAAAGGAGGGAGAGATTAGCATGTGAAATACGGATGAGTGGAGTTGGTGGAGTGGAGAGACGATGCTCAGACTGGGGTTGGGCAGGGGCTCGGGTTGGTGAGCAAGGGCTGGTTTGTAGGGGAGCACTCCAAGATCGCAGGGAGGGCGGAACATCACAAAACTGAGGGTGTTTGGAAGGAACTCGGAAGTCAATGAACGCGCCGCCGTAGCCCCCAAGGGGCAAGGCGCGCGAGAAGAGGCGCTAATCCACCAGTCAGGTGCTAGCAGGCGGGGCCTCAAGAACCGGCGCTGGGGTTGACTAGCGCAAGTGTTGCGCCGGTGTGTGATATCCACACCACAAGACCAGGGCGGAGCGCGAGAGCGAACCGCGATGGCGGCGTCGCGCGCCGTCCAAAGGTAGCGAGGTTCCGAGTCCGAGCCTGTACAAGTGCGAACCTACCAGCCAACCATCCGGTGAACGCCACGTCAAAAGATTCCAGACCAATATGGGCGCAAAACTCAACACATTATTGGTGGAGCGGAGCCACGTAATCGAGAACGAGCACCCAAGCCGTGGTGGAGGCTCTGACCCGCCACGAAAGTCTTCTCTGCAAGTTATCAGAAGTTGACCCTTGCCGTACAATATAAGGGCCTATTAAGCCTCACGCCAGCATTATATCCATTAAATAATGCTCACATTCATGTTAAATATTTTCGATACTGATTAAGAAGACATAAAAACCCCATAATATTTTTTAAATAATAATTTATGAAAATAAGGTGATTCCTAACGTAAGTACAGGTTCTGGAATTAAGGTGATCATGAGCCATTGAAGCATCATTTACACATTAAGTTAAGCTGAATGAGCCAGATTGTAACATCAATGTACCTGCATGGATACCTTTCGCCAGAGTTCCCCCTGACAGCAACAAATAACCGCCAAGCGTCTGCCAAACCGTCCTGCTGACGCTTGCCAACGACAGACTGGCGTTCGTCTCTATTCGTGATTCTTCCCGCCCCCCATCGTCGTACCACCCCACCCATCCATCACACCAGATTTTGCTGTATGCTGAGACGAATTTCAGTCCCTACTACGGTGGCGGCTGATACCGAAGCTTTCGCTCGGACTTGGGCGTCAACTCCAAGATTTGTCGATTGTTTCGATTGTATCCCTGACGTTAACCTTATCCTGTTTTCTCGAGTTCGTTTAGCATTGCGGTTTCTATACTGTTGAAGTATCGCATTCTAAGCTGAGGTTTATTCGCGTGCTTCTTGTGAATTCAGTCGTCGTTCACCACATCACCAGAATTCTTACAACAAGCACCTTATCAGCGTTTCCCAGGTCTCCATATTCCTAGCTGTGAATAATTGGTCGTCGAAAGCCATGGCACTAGTGCCATTCAACGATAGATCTAACGCCTCTCCTCCTGAGAGCTCCTCGATCACAGACAGCCGGAACGGAGGGCTTGTGGTGTGGGAAGCCTCCCCCGACGATACGGACGACCTCGCGTTCGTGCAGGCTCTTGAACTCGCTGAGGCCTCGGCCAAGCGACGCCGCACAGGAGAATCTGGCGGTCACAATCAGTGGATCGGTCGACAGACAGCTGTCGCCAGTGCAGGGAACACCCTTGGCGGTGGTGAAGATCAAGGTGGTGGCTGGAGCGGAGGCGGAGCGAGTGGTATGAGGAATGCTGGTGTGAACGGTGTAAGTAGGAGCAGTGTGGTTATCACGGAAGTGACTCGGAATGATTATGCTGGCGCAGCTCCGCGCCAGCTAGGCCGGCAACAGAACCGGCACGGACGACAACAGCAGCAACAACAACAGCAGCAGCAGCAGCAGCAGCAGCAACGGTGGCAAAGGCAGCCAGATGGGTTGAGAGCAGGAGCCACTTTGAGGCAGTGCGAGAGAGTACAGTCAGTTGCTGGAGCTGCAGATGTGGCAAGTGCTAATGGTGCAGTGCATGCTCCCGCGTCCTCGAACCAGCCTGCAACGCCAGATAGGTTGGGCAACCATCCTTCTTGGAGCAACCAACTGCAGCAGCAGCAGCAGCAACAGCAACTGTACCAGGAGCAGCAGCAACGGCAGCAACAACAGCTAGTGGTTATACCCTCGAGTGGTTTTGGTGCTCCGGTACCTGCTGCCGCATCTCCACTCCCCAGCCCCTCAGTGCAGCCACCTTCACCAGTGCAGCCTGCTCAACCTGTTGTCATGCGTCCAGCAGACTTTCGAAACATGCAGTCTGCTGCACTGGATGTGGGTATCTGATTGGATGATATCCTGAAGATTCCAACTTCATTTTTGCCGAGTACATCTCTTCTTTAATCTCTTGTATGCCTGTGTGCTATGTGAATATGGCAGGTTCTTGAGCCTGGTGATTACATGGTCATGCAAGGGAAACCGTATATCAAGAAGTCGGGTATGTTCCATTATCCGTTGCTGTCCAGTTCGTTTCTTAAGACCATTTTGCCATGATTCGCTTACATTTGTCTTTTTCCATTGCACATTCAGGCTGGCGCAAAATTGCCTTCTTTTTCAACGTGTCATTTGAAATCCGAGACAAGACCATCGAGAGGGACGAGCGTGGTAACGTTACAAGATCGGAGTTCCTTGTTCGAGCCAGCATGCCGTAAGATCGAAAGCCTACACTTCGCACTTGGTGAGCTTCTCAAGTTGTTCTGCCAGGTTTAATGCATACATATCTTGTTCCTAAATGCAGTTCCGGCAGATTTTCTGATGCATGGGGCTCATGTGACCGAGGAGAGAAGAGGTTCAGTAAACCGAACCATGATATTCCAGGCACTGCTGAGACTCGAGCTAAGAGCCGTGCATGCCAGGTGAGAGATTTCAGACACCCTCCAGCAAAACAAGCATTTTGACAGCTGATTGATCCAAGGCTTGATGGGTTTTGTACATCGTTTTGATGCGCAGGACCTTTTGGGGATTGGGGAGTACAAGCAGCATCACTCGTGATTTCTGGCATCCGTTCCGTCTGTCCCACTATGTGTTTCAGTTTGCTCAGGGTGGCTCATTTGTTTCTGCTGCAAATCTATTTGTAAATCCCGAAGTAGCTTACTGGTGTATGTTACGGGTGCAATGAATCAAAGTAGCGAGAATTGCACTAAGGAGTCAAAACGAGTACAAAATGTGAGCGAAGGCATGAGCGAACATTTATACGCGAAACATGCAAACGGTAACGCGGTGCGTGCGAGCTAGCTAGTGCTATGCTGGAAGCGAGGCTCGGGCTAGTCCCGAAGCGTAGCCCGATACGGCCAGGCCAGCAGTGCGAGGTTTGGTGAAACAGTGCGCGCGAAGTCGGCGAAGCCCCGTTAGCAGTAACGGGCGAGCAACGGCTACTGCTGTACGCGATGTTGCAGGGCGCGCTAAGGAATATCGAGAAAATTCCTTACACTACCCCACCCCTCAAGAAGCCCCCTCCGCTACGCGAGTGCGTGTATATCGCGGAAACCCTGGCTCCTCAGGTACACTTGCAGGGCAGGGTGGTTTTCAATGTTGGCCATGGGCACCCAGCTATCCTCAGTTGGCGTGCGATCCTTCCAGCGAACGAGGAATTCAATCCTCCTGATTTCCGTTGGGTGTCGAATCCGATGGCTCATGATTTTTCGGGTTCGACGATCGGCTCCCATGCAGGGCGAGTCATGGATGGCGGGTGGTGACGAGACAGTTGGCTTGTGGTTGGAATGTATGGGCGAAGCACGCTGACGTGGAACGAAGGGCTGACGTGGAACGAAGGGCTGACGTACCAGTCCGTCGGCAACAGTAGGTGAGCTGTCACTGGGGTAATCATGTGGTTGATTTGGAATGGTCCACAATAGCGGGGTCGTAATTTCGGGACGACGGGCAGTCTTAAGTTTTGCGTGTCGAGCAGTACCGTACGTAATTGTCAGAATGAGGAATGGATGATGCCATTGATGTTGGTTGGGGTACATATAACAAACCCTAACTTCTGTACCCCCTAAGACAAACCTCACTATAGGCTACAACATTTGACACACCCCCATAGCCTAAGTGAGGGGTGTCTAGCAAAATCAAAAAGAGTACGGTCACAAGACCAGTCCAAAAGAAAACAAAGCTCAGGGTGGATCACAACGTCACCACACACTCTGAGCACAAGCAACAGTGGCCACAAGGCCAGTCCAAGAGATCACAAGTATATATAGCAAGAGTACAGACGAAGCAGCCAATAAACTCAAGCCTTCACATGACTAGAACCTGTGTCAACAAGGCCTAACTGCACACAACACCTCTGGTGGTCACGAGGCGGAAGCGCCTTGGTGAAGATGTCTGCAGTGTTGGCCTCGGACTCTACAAACTCGAAGCGAGCCTGTCCACGCCTCTGCAACTCTCGCAGAAGAAAGTACCTGACGTGAATGTGCTTCACTCTGCTCTCCAGTCGCGGCTCACGACAGAGGAGGATCGACGCCTTGTTGTCAGTGAACAAGGTCGGTGCAGAGCTCGGCCGCTCACCAAGGTCGGCGAGCAAGAAGGTCAACCACCGCAACTCCTGTGCCGCCATGGCACCAGCGTAAATCTCAGCCTCAGCTGTAGAGGTCGAGACAGAAGAGGAGCGCGTGGAACGCCAGGAAACAGCTCCAGAACCCAGACTGAAACAGTACCCCTGAGTAGACCTGTGAGTCTCAGCGTCGTCAGCGTAAGAGGAGTCACAGTGACCAGTGAGTACGACAGACTGCTGCCCTCCAAGAACTAGCCCCACGCCTGATGTAGTCGCTAGGTACTTCGCCACCCTCACAGCTGCCGTCCAGTGAACAGGACGGTGTCTCCCTGGCGCAACAAAGCGCGCAAGGATGCAGAGAGGGAAGGCGAGGTCCGGGCGAGTACAAGTCATCAGGTACATGAGGCAACCCACAAGCTCTGCGTAGGGACCACTAGGCTCAAACGGCTCGTCAGGAAAGGGACCAGTGAGTCTGTGGTCAACAGCGAGAGGTGTGCGCTGTACGGTGGAGTGCTGAAGCCCGAACCGCTGAAGGACCTGCTGCACCATGTGTGACTGTGAGAGTGTAATGGTGCGAGCGGCTCTGTCCCTGGTGATCTGCAGGCCAAGGTAGTGGCGCAGCTCACCAAGATCAGTGCACGTGTGTCTCTTCTGCAGTTCGGACTTCACGTCTGCCAAAGCAACCCTGTCCGAAGTGGCGAAAACGAGGTCGTCGACGTAGACCAGAACAAAGAACGGTGTGGAGCCACGACGAACGAACAGCGACGGGTCGGCAGAAGACGGCTGGAACCCAAGGTCGGAGAGGGTAGAACGCAGAGTGTCGTGCCACTCACGAGGGGCCTGGCGAAGACCGTAAACAGGTCGCCTCAGCCTCCACTGGGTCCCAGGAGGGAAAGTGCCAGTGAAGGCCGAGGGACGACGCAACCAGACCTCCTCGTGTAGACTGCCCTGAAGGAAAGCAGTGGAGAAGTCAAGAGAGTGTAACTCGTAGTCTCTCTGTGCTGCTACGTGTAGTAACACCCGAAGAGTGGTCATCTTCGGGGTAGGTGCGAAGGTCTGAAAGAAGTCAACTCCCTCGCGGTGACTGAAACCTCTAGCCACGTAGCGCGCCTTGAAGACCGGGGGAGATCCCGGTGGCCGCTTCACCCTGTAGATCCACATGCCGTCGACTACGTTCGCCCCAGGGGGGGGAACCTCATCGACGTAGGTGCTTGTGGATCTGTAGGAGGCCATCTCTGCGTCCATGGCAGCTCTCCACTGAGAGGCCCAAGGCCCTGACACTGCCTCAGCGTAAGTACGAGGAGTCGGAATGTCAAGGGCGTCGGGTTCACCCTCAGGGGCGAGGAGCATGGCACAGAGATGAGGGGAAGCGGCCGCCAGGAACTCTAGCTCAAACTGCCTGTCCTCTAGGGCGTCACAGCCAAGGGCAGACACACCCCCGACGACCAGAGGACTGGTAGGAGGAGCAGTCACAAGCGTGGTGGCGTAGTCAAGGCGGCGGGTAGAGGCAAAGTCAGTAACCGCGGCAGTAAGAGCGGACACAGAGGACATAGAGACACGAGGGTGAGTAACAAGAGAGGCGAGAACACGAGAGAGAACAGGACGGTACATGCGGTAGTAGTCAGTGACAGGAGTAGGGAGCGACACATTGAGGGCCGACTCAGGAGGAGACGGAAGTACAGACTGAGACGGACGAGGTGGACTAGAAAGAAGGAAGGCAGTACGAAGGTCAGTGAAGGGAACAGGAGACGAGGGACGAGCACGAGGGGAGCGACGAGTAGCCCAAGAACGAGACGGAGGAGAAGAGGACAAGGGCGGAGAACTGGGGAAAACAGCGGGGGAGGAGTCAGGAGGAGGAAACGTGGGACCGTAGACAGGAGGAGAGGCAGAGGAGGGAGGAGAAGGGGAGGGGAGACCAAGGATCCGAAGACCCGAGACAGGAGGAGGAAGTGGCTGCTGCTGCTGCGGCTGCGACTGCTGCTGCTGCGGACGCGGCTGCTGCTGGGACTGCTGCTCCTGCGGGTCCAGCTGCTGCTGCTGCTCCTCCAGCCGCTGTAACTCCCTCTCCTCTCTCTCCAACGCCAGCTGCTCGTCACGGGCACGGCGAACACGAGCCTGGTGCCTAGTCGGGTAGGGGTGGGGGGGTGGAGTAGTGTCCGAAGCAGCGGCAGCTCCAGAGTCCACCCCAGAAGAACTAGGCGCACCACCCCCAGAGGCAGCACTAACACCAGCTCCAGACCCAGGCTCACCTGAACCCGAAGGAGGCGCACCCTCACCCCCAGACGCAGCACCCCTAGTGGCCGCGCGACCAGCACCAGCTCCCGGACGACAAGAGTCCTCTGCACCCACCGGGACAGCTCCAACTCCAGAACCAGAAACTCCAGCTCCAACTCCAGCTCCAACTCCAGCACCCCCAGAACCAGAAACTCCAGTGCCAACTCCAGCACCAACTCCAGCTCCAACTCCAGCACCCCCAGAACCAGAAACCGGTACAGGAACAGGCGCAGCACCAACCTCTCGAGAGCTAGCACCAGCGGCACGCTGCGAGGAGGACTGTGGGGAGGGAGGCTGTACCGGAGGGGCTACCGAAGGAGGAGGGGTAGCCTGGGACACACCTGACGGGGCTGGACCAGGGGGGGGAGGCTGTACCGGGGGAGCAGGAGGGGGGGCTGCAGTCAGGAAGAGGGGGGGAGGAGGAACCGGGAGACCTCGACTGGGGTACCTGACGTAGTACGGAGTGGACTCCTCGAAACGGACGTCACGGGAGTCAAAGAACCGGTGAGAGGGAGGGTGGTAAAAGGTGAAGTCAGAGGAGTCCTCAGGAAAACCAAGGAAGACACACGGGACGGCACGAGGCGAGAGCTTGTCCGCGGAGGTGTCGCGGACAAGAGCCAAGCACCCCCAGACGCGAAACCGCGACGCAACACCAGGGGACCCTGTCCAAAGACTGGTCGGTGACACCTCTGGTCGAGAGACACGTGGCCAGAGGTTCAGCTGGTGCGCGGCGTACCTGACCGCGTAGGGCCACAGAAAATGGGGGGCACAAGCGTGAGTCAGGGAGGTGCGGGCGATCTCCATGACCAGGCCTATGCGGCGCTCAGCAAGCCCATTCTGCTGTGGGGACTCTGGAAGCGTCCAGGACTGACGAATGCCCTGCTCGCGACAGAATCCAGCGAGAATGCCGGAGCGAAACTCACCCCCACGGTCGGAGTGGAGACAGCTGACACGACGACCACGAGTGTCCTCGGTGGTGAGCAACCACCTGATCAGCGTAGAAGTCACCTCGGACTTCTTCGCCAGAGGGAACACTGTGGTGTAGCGGGAGAAGTCGTCAACGACCACCAGAAAGTAACGCTCACGCTCAGGGCCTAGACGAGGGGCGGGGCCCCAGACGTCCAAGTGAAGCGTCTCAAAAGGCTCGGTGGCCGGACGTAGGGAGGAGGAGTGAGGGGTGGCGCGCAGCCGACCCTCGACGCAGGGACCACACGGCGGCGCAAGC